GGTGGGGGCGGGGAGCGGAGACAGCAAAGAAGAAGCGATTCCCCCTGGATCCAGCCCACAGCCCCACTTCCCCTGCCCAGAAGGCCCCGGGCGGGCGGGCGCGGCCGCTTCCTGTCTTTCATCAGCGTCTGGGTGTGCGGGGCACTTTCGCCAGGGTTGGGGGAGGGCTGGAGTGGCTTCCCTGAGCCTCAGGTTTTGACGCTCCCGTGACCTCCGACCTATCTGGAGTGTGGGGGTCCCCTCCCCGCCCACGTCCCCCGGGCAGGCACTCACCTCCTCACTGTCCCAGGGGGGTGGTGTCGGGGGTGGGGGAGAGAAGAGAGAGGTTAGGGCCGAGGCTGGCGGGGAGCTGGGAGGGGCTGGGCTGGGCAGGCCGGGCAGGGGTGAGGGCGGTGGGTGGCGGGGCGCACGCTGGGGCTGGGGTACACTTACTCCCCCATCCTGAGGTCCTGAGCTTCGAGCCTGTGGGAGAGACAGGCAGAGGTGCCAGGGCCCGTCTGGACCCCCACGAACGTGGCACCCCAGGCCTCCCTCCCGCCCCCCCACCTCCTTAGAGGGCGATGTCTTGGAATTCCCTGGGGTAAGAAGTGAGAGGAGAAAGTGCTCCCAAAATGTCCAAGGCGGGGCCTGAGGAGCTGCAGCTGTCCCCGAGGGCGGGGTGGGGCGGCTGGCACAGGTGGCCTCGGAGTGAGGCTGCTATTTTTAACTCTGCTCCCCTGGCTTCGGGCCTAAGTGCATGCAGGAAAGGACTCCACAGTTTGGCCTGGGGGCTTGGGGCTTAGGGTCACCCAGCCCACCAACTCTCCCTCCAGCGTCCCCAGGAGTGAGTCCTGGACATCAGGGGCCTGTCCAGGACCCCTGCCCTGTCCTAGCTGCCTCCCCAAGCATCTCTTTCTTCTCACTGCCAGCTCTGTGGACACCGCCAGAGAGGGCTGCTGGCAGCAGACCCCAGGACCCCCAGCCCCTGCCCCAGGAAGTCCTCCTGCAAGCCAGCTCGAGTGACACCCTGGCCTCCACGGGCCGGGCTGGGCCTCACCTAGAGTCTGGGCAGCAGGGCAGGGAGCGAGGTCAAGACGGCAGCGGCGAGCTGGGCGGGTGGGCCCGGTGGGAGGGGTATAAATGTCCTCCCCAGGCTGGGCCCCTGCTCAGAAAGGGCATGGAGGCCTCCTCAGACCAATGGGGTCACAGAGAGCCAGAGAGGCCTCTCCACCTGCCCAGGCCGCCGGCCGCGTGCTGCCACCCTGTCCAAGAAGTCTTGGGGGGGGGGGCGCTGTGGTCAGGTTGCTCTATTTAGGGCTCAGTGACGAGTCTGAGATGCCGCCCCGTTCTTGCAAGGAGCCTGAGGACAGCGTGCCTGCCTTTGCTCCAGGCTTTGCTGAGGCAGCAGCTCCGGGGTCAGCGAAGGGTCACTCACGCAGAACCTCAACCCCAGCGCCCCCTCTCCCCTAAGCCAGTGGGCCTGCCCCCTGGTGTGGCCCGTCGTGGACCTTCCTTGCCATTCCCCATGGCAGCCCAGGGCTGGCTCTTCAGGCACAGCCGGCCCTGTCCCTCTTGTCTTCAAGCCTAGCTCCTGGGAAAAGGCCGGGACCCCCAAACACAGCCTCCCAGGCCCTGTCACAGCAGCCAGGGGTGCAAACCTGCCTTCTTACCCAGAGAGCAGGGGCAGGAGCAGGGGGTGCCCTGGACACGCAGCCTGCCCCTCCTGGCCCTGCCTGCAGGCCCCTCCCAGCCCTGCCTCAGGCCCCTCTGCAGAGGCAACTCGGAACACGTCCTTCACGTAAGGAGAGCAGGCGCCACCGCCCTGGAGCCTCTCAGTGACCTGTGGGGGCCTGAGGCCCATCTGGCTGCCTGGGCAGGCCCTGCAGAGCCCTTCTCACCCCGGCCCAGGGCCCCAACCCTGCAGAGGCACCCTGGGACCGTGACTTGGCACCCTCTCTGAGCAGTGGGGCGCCTGGCCCCAGCTCTGCTGGCTTCTCAGGCTGTGGGGAGGATCAGAGGAGATACGAGATGCAGGAGGCTTTGCAGACACTAAAACCCTCCAGATGTGTGGGATTAGGAGGCACGTCCCGGGCCAGGGCTGAGCCCCCAAGGGCCCCAGGCAGCTTCCGAAGGTGTCTACTGCCCCCTGCTGCTCGCATGGAGGAGGCCCTGCAGCTGCTGGTACCGAAAAGTGCTGGGGTCCCCTCTGTCTGCTGTCACTAACCCCACACGCCACCCGATTGTCCCCTGTATCCCTGCAGGGCTGCTGCAGCTCCCTTCTCCTATGCCGTCCCCAAGTCTCCAGCCCCCGCAGATGGGGAGGGTCCCCGCCTCCTGGTCTCTTTCCAGCTAGGCCCAGAGGAGATCTGTGTTTCTCCCGGGGCTGCCCCCACCCCACCCAGGACTCAGGCATTGGTCGGAGGCCTCAGGGCCAGGCTGAGTGTGCAGAGGAGATACTCCTCCGTCCTTGGGAGGGGGCTGTGGTGCTGAGGGGGAGCCTCGCCCTGTTTCTGTGTCCCTGCAGGACTAGAGCAGGACACAGTTGTGGGAAAAGGCATTTATTACAGTGGGTTCCCCAGCGTGGCCTGGGGAGACCAAGGCACAGTGTGCTTTCAGGAGTGAGGCAGGGGCAAGCGTAGGCATGGCTGCAGGGCCAGGGCACGGTCCACCTCCTTGGCAGGCCGCAGGCGGTGCCACTGGGCGATGGGCCGCCGGGCATGGGCCAGCATGTCTGCCCAGTGCTGCAGGGGCTGGCCAGAGGCCCGAGCGCCCAGCAGCACCTTGCCCACAGGCTCGGCCCGGAGCTGTGGGCCACGGGCCCAGACAGCCAGCACCAGGTCCACGCTCTGAGCAGACAGTCCAGCAGTTGGTGGGGAGAGAAAGACTGTGGTCAGCTTGGCCCAGCACAAGGCCCGCCCCTGCCCCTGCCCCCCAACGGCCCACCTGGACCTGGCTGAAGGGCACCAGGAAGGTGAAGGCCTCGTTGAAATAGGGGGTGGCTGTGCCCTTCCTGGCAGACGTCTTTCTCCTCTTCCACTTCTTCTGCCTCAGCATGAGCTGGACCTTCACGTAGGGCTCTAGCCAGTGAGAGGGGACGGTCAGGTGTCTCAGGTCCAAGGGCTGAGCACAGGGTCCTCACCCTCTGTCCACTGGAATGGGCAGGTGTGACTCTCACCTGTCAGCTCTGGACTCAGGCCTCGGGCCTCCAGCACTACCACAGTCAGCCGGCCCGAGCTGGGCACGTACCGGAGCGAGAAACACAGCTCCCCCATCTGCTCAGGCTGTGGCAGCAAGGGGGGGCTCAGCCTGGGGGGCTTCAGCTTGGCTGGGGGTTCAGCCTGGGGGGTTTGACTTGGGGGGCTTCAGCCTGGCTGGGGGTTCAGCCTGGGGGGTGTGCCCCTGGGGGCGT